ACACGAGCCTGTGCCTCGGCTGCCCAGCCCTGCAGGGCTCGGGTCAGCTGGGGGAGAGGGAGGTGGAACTCCTCGGCACAGGGGTGTTCCCCTCAGGTCACACCACACTGCCCTCCCGTGCGGCCGGGCAGGCTGGGGGCAGGAGGCCCAGGCCAGGAGCCCTTCCACAGCCCCAGCATGGGCACCAGCCCGCTGCCCGCACGCCTGGACGACCCCCAGCAGTGGGGTGGCCTCTGCTGCTCTGCCCCTGGCACCTGCACCTCGGCTGGCTCACAGAGATGACACGGGTGGGCTGAAGGTGAGACCGGATCAACGTTCACACACATGCCTCCAAGAAACCAACTCACTTGCTTAGCTCCAGGCTTCTGGTCCATGGGCGTCATCCGCAAGGTTTTTGCCTCTTTCTCATACTGGCAGTAATACTTCACCCAGGAGATGCCCAACGCCCCTGCAGAACACACGGGAAGCTGGAGTCAGAGACAAAGCCCTGGCTGGATGCAGCGGGCAGGGCACAGCTGGCACTGCCCACATGTCTGCACTTCTCTGGGGATGGCCAGGAACGGCCCACGGGGACACCTCCTTCACCAGCATCTCCAATGGCAAGAGCCAGGAGGAGCAGGGGGAGGAGAGGAGGAGTTCAGGGCAGCAGCCATCTCCAGTGCCCTCCCCAAGTGCTGCTGGTGAAAGGGTGTTTGTGGGCCTCTGGTCGTGAGCCAGGCTGGTTTGGCCTAGTCCAGCCAAGACCTACACTGGCAGGAGCCTATGTGTCTTGAATGCCTGTTTCACACAGACTCCACTACTTTTTCCTGTTGATGAAAACTGGGTAATAAAGACAACGGCACCTTTAAAACGCTCTAAAGTTCCTACTTACATCACACTACACTTATTGTCGTTTTTCTGAACCCCTTTATAAGAAATACTTCAGCTGATATTTTTTCTGTCGTTTGTTTGTAAGATGAAGCTGTTGGGAGGAACAGCTCTCTTCATAATCAATTCAAAGGAGAAACATAAACAGAGGCAGCGAGCAGTCACTGGCAAGCAGGAACATGCCAATTTGTTTGTGGTCTGAAATGACTGCCTATGTGTTTTCTTTTAAACGCAGGATAAATGTATCTATGCAAACACATGTATAAATACATCTGTACATATAATCTGAAACCTAACTGCTCACAGAGTAAGTTGTCTGTTGACTCAGAGGCCACAGCTCTGCACACAGGCTGTTGTCCCACGGCTCTTCGTGCTGGCAGGGCCGTGGAAAGCTACAGCTGGTATTTGTAAGGCCCTGAATTTGGTCTGATTTGATTCTGCCCAGACTCACAACCAGTTTTGTGCTCAGCAGCTTCTCTCTCAGCCCCGGTCCACACTTCAGGAGACGCTGTGAGAGGGAAGCTGGGCAGGACACCAGGCTCCTTCTGATACAACACAGCCAAGGTGCAGTCTGCCAGAGCTCTGCTCTCTCCAGCGGACTCACAGATCTCATCTAATTTGAGCGCAGGCAATTAGCAACTTGCTTACATGGCTCGTGCTGAGAAAGCTGGCAGCTAAAGCTCTGGTGATGCCCTGGGCATGGGCAGGCAGTGACAGCCCAAGCAGCACAGCCCACGGTGCCACCACGGCCACAGCTGGCCTGGGCACGGGAGCCGAGCGAGGCCAGGAGCAGGGCAGCCCAGGCTCACGAGTTCCCAGCACAGTCAGGTGCATATAGAAGCCTTTACATTTCTCCTGAGTGTAGAGATAGCCCTCAATGGTCGGCTGCCCAGGGAGCTTGCAGGTCAGGGGAGCTTCCTTCATCCTCTTCTTCAGGTCTTCCAGCTCCTCCCGCGTGCTGGAAAAATGATTCCTTGTCTGTTAAGAGAAAATACAAAGCAGCACATTTGAACATAAGCCAAGAAGGAACTTCAGGTGTTCCTGGTCCAGTTCTAGGTGCTGTGGCAGAAACACATCCGTCCCCACAGTACAAGATGTGAAAGCCACTCCACAAATTCACATGAAAACTCCAGCTGTAAGAACACTGGACTCTTAAGGATGACTGAAGAGACAAGGTTTAACAGACCGTGCATGGACATGGTGCTGAGGAGTCATGACTGGGAGGACACTTGTTCTTTCAGTAAAAGAGACCTGGCACATTTTAAGGTTAGGTGGAGGAGAAGGAAGCACCTGAACGCCTCTTTGCATCACTGTTTAGGTAACAGGCATATTCTCCTACAAAACTATCACGCTCCACTGCTTGGCATGAAATCATTTTAAAGAGTCACATCAACACAGGGTACAAAAATCAAGGCATCCTTACAGGACTCCACTGAGACCAGCTAATGAGCCAGCAGCAAACTCAGCCTGGCACAGATTTATGGTGGTTGTTCTGCAGGAATGAGGGCCAGCCATGAAAGACTGAGGAGAAAAGGAACAGGACAGGGATATTTTACCCTGGGAGTATCCTCAGCCAGGAGCCTACCAAAGCACACAGTAAACAGAGGCATTTGCATCACCACTGGAGGCCTCTTTAGAAGATGTGTATAATTCCAGTGCCATGAAATTGGAAGAAATTCTCAGGCCTGCATATACACAAGGTTAAATGGTACAATTGCAACAGCCCCTTCCAGACAGAATCTGTTAGTTCTGAAAAACACTACAATAGCACCTGCAGACTCTGTCGTGCAGGAAAGGAGAAAATATGTGTGAACTGAGAAGGAAGGAACTTTATCTGCACCTCCCACAACCCAAACACAGACAGTCTGTTTTGCATGGAAAAGCTTTGCCACGTTTAACTACAAACGAGAATAAAAGTCACATGCAAAAAATCCTTCATCTGGGCAGGAACTCACATTCTGCAGGCTGAGCTGGAGCTGCTGTTTGTAAGGGAGGAAATCCTGCGTGAGCTCAACTGTCAGGTTGTTGTAAGTGAAGAGGCTGTGGAGAAAAGCCAGCACCTACAAAGGAGAGAGAGGACACAGGTTAAACTTCTATATTTCTAATCAGAAGGAAGATGAATAGGAAACAGTTTCAGAAATTATCTATGCAAACGTGTGTGGGTTTTTCCTTATGATTTTGGAGTGATGCAAGTCTTAGTACAACTGATGCACCAGTGTCCCTAAGGCCCAGGTCTACCACCCACACGGCTGTTTTAATGAAACACACCCGACATGAAAGACCCTGCAGAGAGAGCAGGAGCAGAGCTGCAGCCTCCACAAGACCTACACGATCCCACACGCAGCCACGTCCAGTGCTCAGGTGGAGCCACCCCCTCAGGGCAGGTCCCCACATGCAGCCAGGACCTGGGACCACCGCTCTGTGCCGTGGCAGGTAAGCACACCAGGCAGCAGCTCCCTCCCTCTGAGGGCAGCTCATGCTTACCAAGCCCATAACAAGAGCTCCAGCTACCTACAGTGTCCAGCCTGCTCTGCAGGATCAACTTACAGACACGACAAACAAGTCTGTGGCTCCACAGTGCTCCATCAAACACCACTAAGGCTGTTGAGCTGCAGCAACCCCGTGTGCAAGGTTAACTCCTGCCCCATCATGAGACTCCCCAGGATGGAATCCAACGTGGTGACTTATCCCTTCCTGTGACTGTCAGCAGATCTGAGCATCAAAGAACAGGGCCTGAAAGGAAAGGAAGCTCCTACCGGCTCAACAATACTGAATTTCTTGCTTTCTTGTACTTCCTGGATCTGGTACACATACTCCAGGGAGGACTCGAAGAAATTGTGTCTCTCTTTGTCAACCTGAAGGTCAGCCTGGAAGAAAGAGGGAGAGGTGAAAAAAGAAAATTCATTAAAAAATCATAGAATTATTAAGGCTGGGAAAGACCTCTGAGATCATCAAGCCCAATCATCAACCCAACACTCCCATGACCACTAACCCATGGCCCCAGGTGCCACGTCCACACGTTTTCTGAACCCCTCCAGGGCTGGGGACTCCACCACCTCCCTGAGCAGCCTGGGCCAAGGCCTCACCACTCTGCCAGGAAAAAAATTCTTCCCAATCCCCAATCAAAACCCCCCCTGACACAACTTAAGCCCATTTCCTCCTGTCCTATCGCTGGTTACCTGGGAGAAGAGACCATCTGGCTTGACAGCATTTGAATAGCATTTGCCTGTCAACACACAAACAGTCCAGTCCTCGTTTCAGAAGACGCCTGCCCAGGTGTCCAGCCCAGGATCTGAACCCTTTGCACAGAGCCAGGAGACTGGAACACTGGCCATTCTTCCCAAGCCTGCTCTGTTCTGCCTCCCCTTCATTTCTGGGTCCAGATCCTCAGCCCGCTCTGCAGGGGCGCGGCTGTCCCGCAGCGCCTCCGACACGTTGGCATAAGCTCCTTCTCCACCCGCCAGACCCTGAGGGTTGGTCTGACAGCTGGTTTGACAGCCCTGGTGTGACCCAGCCTCTCTGATGTGGGCTGCACAGCCCGGGTCCCCCTCTCCTGTCGCAACACGTTTGGTGGAAGGGGCACCCCCCGTCTGCCTGCAGCTCAGCACCACCACAGGCCAACACCCGCCAGCTGGGCAGGAACCAGCCTGGCAAAGACAATCACCACTGCCTATCTCTCAGCCAGGTCAGTCCCCCGAGCAGGTGAAGGAGTGGCCAGTCCCCAGCCCTGTGCCATAGGGGTGGGAGCAGGGGATGATGATGCGTGGGGCCACCGCTGCTGTCCAACACGCCAAGAACTCTGATCCTGACCCCCTGGTCTCATCCAGAGACCCCAGGCCTCAGGGACACCCCACTGCTTACCAGCTTCAACTGGAGACTGAAAGGGATGATTTCCCCCCCACTCCTTTAAGATCTAGAGCAGCTGGTGGTGGTGTTTCTGGCTGCCCTGCTCTCATCCAGAGAACCCAGGCCTCAGGGACTCCCCACTGCTTACCAGCCTCAACTGGAGACTGAAAGGGATGACTTCCCCCCCACTCCTTTAAGGTCTAGAGCAGCTGGTGGTGGTGTTTCTGGACCCAGCTCTGAGGAAAACTCCATACACACCTCCTGCAATTGGGACTCCTTCTTTTTGGAAGACAAATGCAAATGGCGATCCAGCATGGAATAGAACTTCTCACCATCCTTCTCAAACTTCTTCTTTCTTTCCTGCAGATGCAAGAGTTGAAGCAGAACCAGTTATTGGCATTTTCCAGAGAAGAACATGTGATAACACCTAGAACTCTTGTGCAGTTCAGTATTCCCATGGGGGAATCCTGGCCAGCTCACCAGAACAGGAGGCCACTTCCCATCTGCTCTGCATTCACAGTCCATCCAGCCCATGCTGGATTGAGTTACTGCTCAAGATCAAGCTCTGGCAACACTTTGTGGCACAAGCACTTGAAGTATTTTGTCCTGTCAGCATTGCAGCAGAAGCCCCACCAAGGTTTTGTTCCCCCTCTCAGTCTCTCCACTGCCAACCAAGCTTGAGCTGTGCTAATCCATGAGGAACCTGCCCCATTGGCCAACGTGCTGTTCACATCAGCCAGACACAACGGGGCAAAGGCTGCAGCCACAGAGGCATCTGGGACAAGAACAGCTTTGTGAGGAGTTGGGCAGTTCTCTGTTTTGAAGCTTTTATGGGGTGTTTCTGCAAAGCCCCAGGAGGAAAGCAGAGACTGGGAGGGATGCGTGGGAGGGAGCACACAGCCTGCACCTCAGAGCCCCCGGGACTGGGCAGGTCTCACTGACCTGCTGCCCACTGCCCAGGTGCCCCCACAGGCACGAGTGGGCTGCTGTGTTAAGGAAGGTCTGGTGAAGGAACTGCCACACACACGGAGCTGTTTGCTCTGCAAAGCTGAGGGGGCAACCAGCTAAAACGGGAGCGAAAGGAGATGTTACAGAATGAAACCCAGAGGGAGTGCAGGGAGGAGCTGAGCTGACAACCAGGCTGCTTGCAGTCAAGAAACAACCGTCAGCAGAAGCCAGGCTGACAAATACCCACCTCAGATGATAACTCAGCCACTGCCAAAAGGCAGCTACATTCCTAAAATAAGGAAATTCCAGCCTGGCAGCAGCCTCAAGGCCAGATCCAAGCAGCTGAGGACCAGTGTGTGCATACTACAGGCTATGTGCAGGATGCCCAAATCCTCTGTCTAGCTTTTGAAAGCTCAAGAAAGTGGAAAGCAGTGTTAGGAAATCCCAGTTTCCTGTGGAATAACTGGTGTCTTTCAGCAATCATCTCCTAAAAGCCCTGAGATCCAGTTCCCTTGCCCCCACCCAGAAATGCACGAATAAGCAAACACACACCAATGCCACCACCAGACAGAGCAGATGGACTCTGCCACACTGGTGGGTACTTGTTGTTCTCCTTATGAATGCAGTAGCAACTGCAATGTTTGAAGCTGCATTTCCTAAATAAAGTACTTTCTCTTTCTTCATTCAGTTCTCCTGCCACAAAGTTTTGCTTCCCCATTCCACTTGCGTGGACTACTCAGTCTGTCTAAGAGGATGTCCTGTGCAGCAGGAGGCCTGGGGGCTCCCAGAACTGGTACCTTGGCACAGCATGGTCAGCCCCTGCCCAACCAGCTGCTTTCTTCTCAGCCTCCTGCTCAAAGTGTCGTCACAAGGCACTTGGAGGGGACGTGGCTCTCCTGGCAGCATCCTCTGCAATGCCAGGCAGACTGTAGCTCTGCATTAGCAAATCCACTCCTCAGAATGAAGAGAGGAGCAGAGTCCCCTGAGTGAAGCCTCCTTCAGGCAGCGCTGCAGCTGCAGAGCCGGTGCCAGGACTGTCCAAACAAACCACCACCCTCCTGACTGACCCCCTGCCAAGCAGACCCAAGGCCAGGAAGCAGCAGCATTTGGGAAGGACACAGAGAAGTCCTGCAGGGTCCCACTCCTGGCCAGGCTGCCCGTGCCATCGATGCCAGGTCCAGCACTGCCAGGGGCCCGGGCTCGGCCCCATCTCTGCACCCAGCGGCCACCAAACCCGGGGCCACAGAAGCACAGGGAGCACAGAGAGCTCGGGCAGCCCATGCAGCTCCCACCACTGGCTGCTCGTGCCTCGGAGGGGACAGCAGACCCATGCCACGAGCCCCTGACCCACTGCCAGCAGAGCCATGGGGCCACTGCTCCTCCTAGAGCAAACCCAGCCACAGCGGGCAAAGCGCTCTGCCCGCCGGGGCCCCGCTGCTGCAGGGCTCTGAAGGAGCTCTCTGTGAGGGGCTGGGGTGCAGGACTGGCACCAGCAGGGCGTGGGGCTGGGCACTGAGGGGAGCTGGACCCACAGGGGGCACGGCAAAGCGCTCTGCCTGCCGGGGCCCTGCTGCTGAAGGGCTCTGAAGGAGCTCTCCATGTGGGGCTGGGGTGCAGGACTGGCACCAGCAGGGCGTGGGGCCGGG